TCTCTGTCTCACTCCTGTTGGCTGGCCTGGCTGGGCCTTTGGGTGTGTTGCTTTGAGGACAGGGTTCAGATGGCTGACTGGCGTCTGGCTTTGGCATTTGCAGTCCTAACCTGGTAGTAAAGCTGCTGGGAGGTGGGTAAGGTTCTTGGAGTGCCTGTTGAGCAGTCTGCCCGTCTGTAGTGTCCCAAACCCACCATTTTGCCTCCTCTGCCAGGCAGGGGACTCGTGTGGTCGGCTATGTAGAATCCACGCTGAGGGTCCCATGAGGTTACAGGAGCACCAGTGCATTTTCACTAGCATGTCCATCATGGCTTCACTTACTGTGTTGTAATGGACTCGTGTCACAGGACGGGAACATGGAGTGAAAATGCTCCTGAGTTGTCCTCAGTGTTGATAGTCACAGTGGTGTTAACATGAGAGAACTATTAGCAAACTTGCAGGGAAGCAACTCCACGCCTCAGTCCTGTGGGAGTTCACAAGCAGAGGGAGCTCCTGCTGGGAGAGACTTCTTGTTTTAGTTTGTCTCATCCAGAATAATACCAGTCTGGAATTGGAATAATGTAAGGATGGTTGTTTTTCCAGATTGGAGAGTTCGAAGTCCTGATGCTAGCCAGTGTCCCTGTGGTGTTAGATGCAGAAACAATGTTGAAATCCCTTAAACCCTTGGTGGCAAAACCTGGAGGCACATGTCCCAGGAGACGGGCCGCACAAGCTCTCTCCAGGGCAAACCACCTCCCTTAAGGAGTTCAGTGAGTTTATTTCTGTATGAAAAAAGGTCAGGGGAACTAAGTTATGTTCACATGATGTTCTTCCTGGTTAGTTAATGAATTAAATTCTAGATGAGCAGCCATGCGGTTCCTTGATGGTGCAGACATCGGCCATGTGTCCTCACAGCCATCTGGGACTTACGGAAGAGCAGGAGCTGGGTGTGCTGCTCTCCAGCTCAGTGGGAGTTGGCATGTGTGGTAGGTAAAAGCTTAATTCACATCTTTCTTAGTCCTGTGTAGGTTGTCCTTTAGCGTTTCTGACGGGCTTCTTTCTTTTTCTTGAAAGCTCTTTTCTGGACACATGGGCCTTCTCAGAGGGGGCAGCCAAGGGCCCAAGTCTCTGCTGCAAGGTGGAGGACATCTGGCCCCTCTGTCCCAGTGTCCATTAGTGTTAGACTTTGTCGCTGCAGGTTGATCCAGTGGGCACATAGGCTAATTAATGTGAGTCTCTTTCCTTGTTTAAAGGAGTCCATGTTGCTGAAAGTAGATGATTATTTTTGCTGTACTGTTACTAACATATTAGTTTGTGCTGAAAATCCATTGCCATTTGGTACAAATGACATTTGTTCTTTCTGTGAAAGAGAGATGCCCTCGAGTGTGTTTGTACACAAACCTTAGGATGGGGGATTGAAGTGCAGCCCTCACGCTGCCCTCAGTGATGGGTGACGTCACAAGGGGGGTTGCAGGCAGCTGGGGCTCTGCCAAGTCAGTCCCGTCGGTTGCTCTGTTGGTTGAAATGACTGCTTTACCTCTTTCCAGTTTAGTCTGGCTTTAAGTATTTGCTTTCCTGTCCCTGTGTTGAGGCTGTACTGTTGTGGTGTGTGAGGGGCACATTGAACCTGGAACAGGCAAATGTAACCCTTGATTGAGGACCATGTTTTGCTGTGTTTAAAAATATCTGCAAAACTTTTCGTTGGAAAATGAAAAAAACTAATGTCCTAAAATGAAAGCTGCTAAAAGTCATAGGGAGACTACCTGAGGAACCAAGCTGACTAAATGGCTGGGGAGCTTAGCTGCCCTGCAAGGCCCTGACCAACTGGCTTGCACACAGCCCTTCCGCCAGGTGCCCTGGAAGGTACACAGGCAAGACCTGTTAAGGAAACAGTTGGAAGAAAGGAAACACTTTCTCTTTTTGCAAGTTGGCAAAAACAGATTCCTGCAGGGAGTTTTACTCAACAGTGTCATTGTATTTACTCTGTAAAGTCTTGTTTTCCCTTGTGTTAGAGCATTCTGGGCTTAACAAAATTGGTTAAAGTGAGTACTTTTTCCTGATAGAAACGGCTTTTTTGGTTTGGTTTGAAGCTAAGAGAGGGGAAAACTGCTGATTTAATTTAATAATTATGTTCAGCCTCTGATAAAGTGTTTGATGAATAGACAGCAACGCCACTAATAAATTTCAAGTTGTCAGAAATTAATTGTAAACATCAGTACAGTACTCTTAGTTATGATAAAGACAGTTGTCTTAAGACAAACGGCTCATATTTTGGTGCAGTGTTTGATGTTCAAAACAAAATGTTACAACAATAAAAAAAATAATAAACTGAACGCATTTGACTCTTTCCTTTGGTGCCATTGAAGCCATCTTCTCTATACTCTTGCCAGAAATTGATCATTTCCATAAATTAGCATTCAGATCTTTGCTGATACTGAGATTTGTCTAAAAGGAAGTCTTATTTTTGGTGCTTATTTTTAAAACCCTACTCCAGAGGTGAGGCTATCCCCACAGGAACCACCCTCACTAGCTTTGTGTGTTCTGCCAGGAAGTGAGTCATTTGTGCATATGTAATTTCTGTTGTAGTTCGGATGGAATTCAGACAGGGTTTCCCTCTTGCCCCTCAGAGCCTTTGACACCCCACATTTCACTAACCCCTCCCTCAGGGTGCATACCACGTAGGAGCCCCAAAGTTATTATCAGATCAGCAGTCAAAGCGATCTTGGATAAAAAACCACATATCTTGTCATTTAAACTAATGTCTCTCCGTCTTCTTCACCGGCTGTAGCTTTGTCCAACTACGGGGTCCTTCCTTGAGAATAAGCTTTGGTATGTGGAAAAGTCTCATATTTCATGCTGCTTCATCATGACCGCGACACAATGGTGGGGTGAGGGGAGTCACGGGGTCTTTGGAGTGTATTTTGAGAATGGAAAGGAGGCATTCAGACCAGAAGTTTGTGGAGTGCTTCAGGAAGGGGCTGCAGCTCTGGGCTGTCCGTAGTGATTCCCTCTGTCGCCCACTGCCGCCCCTGGAGCTGCGTGTTTCCGTCCTTTACCCTTTGCATTAATAGATGAGAAAAAGGAAAGCTGTTATGTGTGTGCTTATTATTGCAAAGCAGCCCTGGGTACAAACCATGTTTCAGATCTACGTGCATGTCGCCTTTGTGTTCAAGCTGCAGGCAATCTGAGAAAAGTCATTGGAAAGTAGTGTTTTCAAATGTTTCTTGCTTTGACCTGCTGCCTTTGTTTCAGGTACAATTTTGTTGCTTTTAATCACATGGAGGAGGCCACGTGCTAATGCTACATACGGGAAGGACACTCCTGCCTGTGTCTGCGGATCTTAAAACCTCTCAGCCTTTTCCTAGCAACAGCTCCTTGCCATCAGAAATGGTAACCTGGTGCCTTAGTTCAGGGATTTGGTTGGCACCTCTGACTTGAAGGCACTTAAGGGATGTGCTGACTTTTTATTTGAAAGGCAGAGTTAGAGGAAACAAATTGATCTTCCATCCTCTGATTTTCTCCCCAAATGGCTGCATTGGCCAGGCCAGAGCCAGGAGCTTCATTTGAATCTCTCACGTAGGTACAGGGGTCCAAACATCCTTTGCTGTTCTCCCAGGCACAGGAGCAGGGAGCCAGGTCAGAAATTGAATTGGCACCCTTATGAGATGCCAACATTGCCGTCAGCACCCCAACACCAGCCCCAATGTTGACTTTTTAAAGAGGCTTCCTCTGAGCCTTTTCCCTGCCCTCAGCCTTTGGCTCAGCTGTTTTCTATCTACACCAAAAAGCCCTGCCTTGCTGAAGCTGTTGTCTCCTAAATGAGCTGGGAACCATCCTTCATGCTGTTCTGTTTTGGAGTAAACACAGGATCCTGTAAATCATGCTCGTTCTGTTTTGCCTGCCTCAGTTACAGAGAGCCAGGAGTTAACTCTTGTCAGTAACTGAGTCAAGATGCACTGCAAGAGGAGGACCAGGTGGTACTGAACGCTCGGGAGAGCAGTCCAGGATAAGGTAGGACGGGGGAAAACATCTGTTCACCTTCTGCCTGGCCCCTGCCGTCCCAGCCACTGGGCATGTGTCCTTGGGAGTCCTTCATGGGTGAAGAGGGTGAACATGCATGCATGTGCCAGTAGGTTTTCCTGAACCTGCGTTGTTGGGTTTGTTTTCCCCGGGTCATTTCTAGGACAGCCAAGAGCACTAACGGCTCCCTTCAGCCAGCTCCCCAGCTGCAGAGACGGGGGAGAAGGATGCTCTCACCCACCATCCTGGGAAGCAGGCTTTCAATTTTAACTTAGTAAAGTTGCACACCCATAGACCCCAGCTGGAGTGGACACGTAAGAGCTTTGTGGGGCCCAGAGGTTACCCCTAACTTCATTTGCAAACAGACCTTGAAGTTGAGCATGCTGCAGTATAAGAGCATCTTGCCATGGCCCAGGCCAGGAAAATTTGAGCTCTTGGTTCTGCCATCTAGACATTGCCTGGGGACCATGGGGTGCTTATATGTCCCCAGAGGGAACAATTGACTAGCTTCCCCCCAGCTTACTAACAAAAACTGCCCTGAGTGAAGGATCTCCAGCCTAGCCGTTTCTGGGCTTGGGCAGGAGCCCAGCCGCCTGGCTTCCCTGTCCTTCAGGACAACACGCCGGCCTGGGGGAAATGCTTGCCTTCCTGGTGATCTCAGCAGTCAGTGTGTCATCAACTTTATATTGGGCCTCTTGTTGCCTAGGAACCTGAGAGTTCATCAAGATGCATCTGCCAGTGCACTGTGCAGTGCAGCAGTCTGGGCAACTGCTGGGATGCAAGTTGCCAGCATCCCCAGAGGGAGCCCTCCTCTGCCAGATCACATGGGGGCTTTGACCCCCCCCCCCAAGTGCTTGTGGTTCATCTCTGCAAGCCAAAACCCAAGCACACTTTGAAGAGTAGTTAGTGCCAGGTCATATTGTGCCATTTTTAAAAAGCTGCCTTTGTACAGTTGGCTTATTCACTCTGAATCCATAAAGTATCAGACACAGTAACTTGAAGAAGTGGTTTTATATTTTTATTGACACTCCCTGTCATTGCACTTCAATTGTACATATCATTCAAGGAGCCCAATAAGGTTTATAACAGTCTCAAGTGCATCCCCTTTTGTAGTTGGTGGGCCAAGGCCGAGGGGAGCAGGGGTGAGTCCCAGGCAGCAATGGGGATGCAAGCATGGAAGAACTCCATGTGGAAATACTGGTGTCTGTGTGGTGGCTCAGATCACTTGAGCATTTCAGTATAAATACCAGCAGCTGGGTGTGGTGTGACACTCCAGCCAAGAACAGGCCTAGGGGACCAGTCTTCACCAGGCAGCTCTTCCTCCCCCATCAGCAGGACATGAGCCTTTGGTTTGGCTTTCTAGGGAGCAGTGTGAGCCTCAGTTAGCACCAGGGTTCAGCTCAGGAACCCTTGCAATGAGATGGAGGCCACGAAGACAGAAGGAGAGGAACTGGCTTCCAGCAAGGGGGCCTTTCCAAGGCTTCCAGGTGTGTAGTTACAGCGATGGAAACATCAGCTCCCAGAGCCACCAGGAGTTTGCCCCGCTGCCTGCCTGGAACCTGGAAGGCCTGGTGGCCTTGACAGTGAGGTAAGGCCTTTCTCTTGGGGGCAGAGGGTGGGACATAAAGATCTAGACCAGTGCTCCAGTTACATATATTAACTGAATATATTAAGGCTTCAGAGTTTTTACAACTACTATTCCTTTACATCTTCCCAGCCACCCTAGAGAGGAGAAAGAAAAGGATATAAGAAAACCCCACTGAATGTGGAGTACATTTCATCAAAGTCCGTGTGGGCCAACCTGCCCCCGGTCACCACAATATTGACCCCATCCCCTGCCTTCAGGTGCACGATGAGGTGGAAGGCTCCTGGGCCACCACAGGTGTGCAGGGCCCCTGGGGGCCGGTGGTACTCCAGAAACTCTCTCTTGTACCCAGCTGTGTGCAGCTGGGCCACGCTGGCATTTGACACGGACAGGACTGCTTCCACGTAGGCGTCCCTCTCCGGAGTGAGGGTGGCTGTAATCAGGTAGCGCCCATCATATGGAGCTGTGAAGATCCCTGGGAGGAGAGAAGTGCTTATCAGTGCTACCATCAGAGCCCGTGAGGTTCTCTGTTAGCCTGGAAGGCGGAGTGGGAGGGCAGGATGAAGACAGCATCTCCCACTTGTCCACCACGGCGCTGCTGTTAGCAGTCAGGTCCCAGCATGTACAGAAGGCAGGCTGGCAGTGGAGAGTGTGGCCACCAGCAAGTCGGACCACTTTCTGTCACCTGATCCTCACTGCAAGACCCGACGAGCTGGGAAGCCAGGTGAGAGGCCACAGTGCCCAATTTTAGTGTGACAATGCACTGGAGAAGGTGGAAGAGAAAGATGCCTATCTCTCTCTTCCCCCAACTCCAAGCAGAGTGACACAGTCATGTCTCGGGCTTGAGGGAGGGGGGAGGAATTCAGTGCAGGCCTCAGGGTCAGCAGAGCTCCATGGCACCGTCCCTACACCTGGTATCCACTGTGGCCCTTCCCCCTGATGGCCAGGGCATCTCACCTAGCTCTGGTGGCCGAACTTTGAGGAAGACTACCTCCTGGGAAGAGGAGCCGCAGAGCAAGCCCAGGACTAGACAGTGCAGACACATGACAGCCCTGGAAAGAAGGGAAGGAAGCACATAGCAGCAGCCATCCCAGCGCAAGACCAGGAGGCAAGTGGGGGTAAGCAAGCTGGCCCTGCTTATTACACCACGGACAGCTAAAGAAGGCGTTCACAGGGCCTTTGCAGGCCTTGAACCTCATGCCTGGGACCTACTCCTCCCAGAGAGCCAGCTTGAGATTTCACAAGTCCAGATTTCACTCTCCTAAAGCTACTCTTTAGGAGCTCCTCAGCCAACCAGGAAGCTCCCAGCACCCACCTTCCCAGGGCCCTGGTAAGACTGTGTGGTACACCCTGAGGTCAGGAGAGTGGGCTGCTCCAGCTCCTGCTGCTGCAGTAGCAGCTGGATGGTCTCAAGAAACTTGAGTGGCCCGTTCTTGGAAACCAAGCATGTGAGGGCCCAGGAAGGAGGTGTTCAGCTTTGTCCACCCCACCCTTCGTCAGCCCTGGGAAATCACTTGGCTAATGAACAATTTTTAAAAAGGAAAGGTGCCATTTGGGATGCCCAAATCTACATCAAAATGCCTCGGTTTGAGCCTTGGTTTTGCAGGTTCCAGCCTCTTGCTGTTGTAGAGGCAGAGGGTGATGGGTCAGGTGGTTAGGTCCTTGTTAAACACACACAACGCCTGGACTGAGTTCCTGGCATGTGGCTATGTCCTGGCTTCGTACTGTATTACAGCATTTGGGGAGTAAGCCAGCAGATGGGAGACACCTCTGTCTTAATCTGTCTTAAAACTGTAGTTGAGAGCATAAACAGCAGAACTGAGTTGGTAGAAGAACTGAGCTCAAAGACAGGTCTTTAACAAAAAAAAGAGGCGGGGGGTGGTATCTGGTTTATTTTGAAAGAATGAGGAAAGTTTTCAAGATCTATGAGATGCCTCTAAGCAAACAAATATTTGTATTAAGGGTGTTGAAGAAACGAGGAAATTCATGGAAACGCTAGTCCGGGACCAGCATTCCCATGCAGGAGGATAGGTCACGCTACTTGCAAAGCCATCCCATAGGAGCACAATTTGAATCCTAGCTATTCCACTTCCAGTGCAGCTCCTGCTAGCGGTAGAAGATGACTCAAGGGCTTGAGGTCCTGCCGTCCCCATTAGGAAGCCTGGATGGAGCGCCTGGCTTTCGCCTGACCCAGACCTGGCCACTGTGGCCATTCGGAGAGTGAGCCAGCAAATGACAGTTGCTCTTCTCTCTCTCTGGTAAATAGTTTTTAAAAACAATAAAAATGAAACCCAGCCAATGAAGTCATTGCTGAAAATTTTTCAAGTCTTAGGAAAGACACAGGCATCCAGGTCCAAGAACAAAGGATTCCTAAAAATGCATCCAAAGAAATTATCTCAGACAGTATTAAAGTATCAAAAATAAAACTCTAAAAACTGCAACAAAGATCCCAGTCCCCTCTAAGGAAATGCTCATTAGATGTGCCACAGACTTAGCTGAAACCTCACAGCCGGGAAGAAATGGGATGCGAACACCGTGCAGATCGCCTGCCAGCCAGGGACACTGTAAACCCAGCAGAGACTTCCAGAAAGGAAGGGTGAAGACCTTCTACAAGCAAAAACCGAAGGAATTGAGACTAAAGTGTGTGTCCTATGTCAGAAATGAAAATTGATCACCACCAACCTGAAAACATGCCGAAACGCCATTCTCAGCTGTGCAGCAGGTGCACGGAGGTGAGGGGAAACGGATGGTTCCTAACAGTGTTCTCCTATGCTCCACATTAACCCAAGGATTTTTTTACACTCAATTTTTTCTTGTAATCATTAGGTTCCAGTATTAGTTGACCTCTTAACATAAGCTACAAAGCCGTTATTTCTTTACATGTTTAAAATTTGCCAATAAAACTATTTAGGCCTGCAGTTAACTCTAGGGAAAGGTTTAGAAAATTAAGGGCCTGGTGCGATAGCATAGAGGTAAAAGTCCTCACCTTGAACACGCCAGGATCCCATACGGCACCAATTCATGTCCCAGTGGCCCCACTTCCCATTCAGCTCCCTGCTTGTGGCTTAGGAAAGCAGTTTAGGACGGCCTTTCAAAGCCTTGGAACCTTGCACCTATGTGAGAGACCTGGAAGAAGCTCCTGGCCCCTGGCTTCAGATTGGCTCAGCTCCAGCTGCTGCAGCTGCTTGCAGAGTAAACCATCAGATAGAGGATCTTCCTGTCTCTCTTCCTCTCTGTATATCTGCCTTTCCAATAAAGATAAATCTTTAAAGGGAAAAAAATGAATTTAGGAGTGGGTGCTTACCCTGATGGTTACAACACCGGTCAATGTGCCCCAATCACATCGGAGTACTTGGCTCAGTGTTTGGCTCCTGCCTCCGGGTCCTGGCACATGTGGACCCTGAGAAGCAGTCATGAAGGCTCAGTGCCACCCATTCCAGCCCTCAGCTGTTGTGGTCATTTGGAAAGTAAACCAGGAGTTCTGTCAGCCTCTTCAATTTTAGTTTGATTTGTTTTATTGATTTAAGATTTATTTTTATTGGAAAGGCAGATTCACAGAGAGGAAGGGACAGATCTGTCCGCTGATTCACTCCCCATCTTATGGTCTGCTTTCCCAGACCATAAGCAGGGAGTTGGAAACTAAGTGGAGCTGCCGGGATGTGAACCAGTGCCCACATGAGATCCTGGTGCATGCAAGGTGAGGATTTAGCCACTAGGCTATTGTGCTGGGCCAGCCGCTCCAATTTTACCCGTCATCCAACAATCCCACTGTCAGGTATATATGCAAAAAAAAAGAAAAATGAAGTCTGTTGAAAAGACTGCTGCAGTCCAGTGTTTACTGCAGCTCTAATGACAGCAGCCAAAACAGGTCATTCAGCCTAGCTGTAACCCGCGGATGAGTGGACATGTCAGTGCATGTGGGCGCTGCAGTCCCGTTCCGCCACAGCAAAGGCTGGGGTCTTGTGCTCTGCAACAGCATGGGCGAGTCTAGAAGACTCTGTGTTGGTAAAACAAGCTGGGCACAGAAAAATACTGCATGATCTCACAGGTGGAACCTTCTAAAGCAGAATAGTGGTTAGTGTTGGTGGGGGATGAGGAAAGCCAGTGGGAACAGAGTTAAGTCAATTAGGAAGAGCAGGTTTTGGTGTCCCATTGCACAGCATAACTATAGTTAATAACAGTCCCAGCACAAAGAGTAAATGAGGGGATAGACCAGCTACTGCACGGCATATCCATACATCAACACACTGCATCGCATAAATGTGTGCAGCTGTGTGTCCCTCAAAAACAAAAGGAAGGAAAGGGGAGGGAAAGTTGAGCTGCAGACACCGACCAGACCCTGTGAGGACCAGCAGAGTGCAGTGACGTGGCCCCAAACCAAGGACTCCCAGCAACACCTTCAGCTGGAAGACCTAGGGCCCTTCCCCTGGAGGGAAACTTAGAAACTGCCTCATAGGCTCCACAAGAACATCCAAGCTGGGATGCAGGTTCAGTACAAACAGGCAGTCGGGATAAGCTCAGAGTTGGTGTGCTCTGCCCTGGCCAGGCACCCAGGTGCCATCCAGCCACGGGGTGCAGAAGCACCCATGCCCATGCAGGGATCTGCTGCCAGGGGTAAGGAAGCAGCAGTGGGGCTTGTGAGCGTGGCATTGTTCCCCAGGGAGCAGCAACTGGAAGTGGCCCCGCGCCTGGTCTCAGGGCCCACAGCCAGTGCTAGCACCAATGCTTGGGCAGGAGAGGGTGAGGAGGACAGGCCTACACCACTGACACAAGCTGACAGCTGGCAAGTTGGAGGGCCCTGGACTGAGAAGTGCTCTACGGTTCCTGGGGTTTAAACAGCGGGAAATGCAAAGCCTGCAGACAGCAGACAGAGCCAGCCCCTGCTCTCAGGGGTCAGAACCCTGCAGAGGAGCCTCAGGTTCATTCCCTATATTTCCTTTACTGAGGACGTGCTGCACGTGGCTTCCCGGGCGCATGAGAAGCAGAGGTCACCATTCCTGCTTACTAGGGTCATGTGACCCATCCAAGTGGACAGCTGCAAGTGGGAGTGGCCTGGACCCCAAGGGTCATGGCCATTCTCAGCAGGTGGCCTGACACCTGTGGGGTCAGGAGGAAGTGAGCGGCTTGCCTCTCCCAACAGCCTCAGAGAGGGGAGTAGGTTTAACATCGCTGCGCTTTGCTCCCACTGCATGCAGCACCCTGAATCCCATTATTCCAAGCTCTGCAGGTGACTGTCACACTCAACTTGAAGGACCACATCTTAGCACAGGTGGGTTTTAGCAAGGCCATGCTCAGGCTGATGCTACAAAGCAGGAAATCTAGTTCCCTCCTCTCCAGATAGCAGCATTTGGGTGAGCAGCGCAAGAACTGGCTGGGAACCCATCTCGCCACAGCTGCCTCAGGAGCTCTGCCCCCTAAACCAGACCTGCCAGGAGGGCAGGGATAGAGATGTGGGCTGCAGAGAAGGAGGGCGGCTGGCCTGGCAGGAACCTGAAGTAAGCTCCCGTCCCCAGCACTCATAGGTCCCAGAAACAACCAAGGCTGGGGGTGGGGCTGGGGGCCACGGTCCCCACCTGTGTGCTGCAGACGGAAGCACTGAGGTTCATTTTGGCGAGGGGCCTTCTGCAGAGACCACTGCCCTATGTGGGGACTCCATGCACACTAAACTCCCAAGGAGGGGCTCCATCAGCATATCTCTGGATGTTGAGATGACTGTCCAACCCCAAGAAGACTGTTGGGAGGGAGGCCAGCCACTGGCAGACCCAGCCCTGTTTACTGCCTTAAGGATCGAGGGGGTGAGTCCAGCAGTGAAGGCTATATGAGGATGCTGACCTCAAGGTCAAAGAACACAGCCGAGCCACCTGCAGCCCTGAGCTGGGAGCCATGCAGAACACCCACAGACAAGGCCCCAGTGCAAGATAGCACTCACCTGTGTTGGGGTTGTAAACGTCCCCATCGTTCACCAGCACCTTGTTGAAGAGGACGACGCCTCCATCGCTGGGGAAAGGCTTCTGGGTGAGCCCCGCGGAGAATGACACCAGCGAAGGCACCGGAGCCCCTGGAGTGGAGAGAGCCTGTGACTGTGCTGACAGGCTGGTGGAGGTAGACCTGTCCCTGGGGGCAGGTGTCAGGGCCAGGAAGCCAGCCCTGACCACAATGAGCATGACTGGGCACACAGGATTCCACTGGTCTGAGACGGGCAGTCCGAACAACACTCTTGCCAGGAAGAGAGAGCCCATGTGTATAGATGGCAGTGCATGCCCGCCCAGTGAGCCCATGGGAGCTGATGCGCTGGGCTGAACAAGGAAGGGAACTTGCTCATCCTAGAGCTCCCTGGGAGGCATTGGGTCATCGGTGTTCAGCCTGGGTCTGTCCGTGGCAAATGGCTGGTTCCCCGACTCCATCCTGTGTTACAGCCCACAGGGGAAAGGTGGGGGTAAGGTACAGAGTGGAGGCAGAGACCACCAGAGAGAAGTGACCTGTGCCTGGGCTCCTGGCAGACTTACCTGGGGAGACCACAGGAGGCGACTGAGGGTACCCTGGGGAGCAAAAAGGAGTGGAATGTCAAAGCCCTAGACAGTTGTTTTTTGAGCCCTTTTGTCACCCTGTTCCTCACCTGGTCAAGTCTTTATTCCTAAAAAAAACAATGAGAAAGACACCTTCTCAGCACCTTCCCAGCTACACTGGCACCCCCGTGCCTGCTTATCCCTGGGCAGGGGAAATGGTACCAAGGCTGGGGGGTAAACTGGCCGTGGGGACACCCTGGAGCCCCACCCCAGGCTGGGAAGAAGACTGCACACAGGTCAAGGCCACGGTGCTGCCAGCAACCTGTTTGCCTCTGGCAGCACCAGCTGGTCCAAACTCCGCCATCAACTAGGCCAGGTGCCACGCTATGTGCAGGCACCAATGTGTAGGAGGGCCGGGAGGTGCGTGCCCAAATGGAGGCATGAACAGATGCCTAGGGGAATGGGCAGATGTGTGCATGGATGGAAAGATCAATGAACAAATAGCATGGCAGTACAGAAGCTGCAACGGCACGTGGCACTAACAAGAGACACTCTGACTTCTTTAAAAAGGCACAAGTGTGCCAGAGCAGGTGGCACTGCCTGCTCCAAGCCGCAGCAGGTGTTGTCATGTGAGAGCCAGGAGTGCTGGCTTCCTTGTGTAAAACAGCATGAATCCAAGCTCCCCTGTACTGCCAGGAGGCCTCCAGGAGACAGGGACAGACCTGGGGCACCCCTGGCACACGGCAGGGAGCTCACAAATACCCAACTCCTGTCCCCCTCCCAGCTTACCCCAACCACCCCATCACAGCCAACCAGACAGCAGTGGCCCCCCCAGCTGCACCCCGGAAGCACTCAGGAGCAGCCATGAGTTAGGCTTCTGCCCTTTAGGCTTCAGTAGCCCCAAGGACACACCTCCCCAGTGGGCAGAGCAGGAGCTCAACGCTGGCTCCAGACAATCTCCCAAGGTGCTCTCCATTTGTGTCCCAGGGGCCTTTGGCAGTTGCCTAAGTGTTGGGTGCTACAATCCCTACCAGCTGGGCTGGCAGGCTCGGGCCACCAGGCATCCTCTGGAAACTCTGAACTTAAGTCTGCGCCCAGGGCCCCAGCAGCAGCAGAGCCAGACTGCCCGCCTGTGCCTTCCCACCCATGTCCCCACAGCTTACCTGGGGCACCCGCGTAGCCTTCAGCGCTGGGCACAGGAGACTGCCCAGTCTGGCCGTCCACCCCCTGGGGCAGGCCCCTGCCTGACACGCCTATCCTTCCTGGAGGCCCGGCCTCTCCCGTCTCCATGATGACACCTGTGGAGCCTGGCAGGAAAGGCAGCCCCGTCCAACCAGGCTTGGCTGGCGGAGGCTGTAGCCCTTGTGCAGGCCACTTGGGCAGCACCGGCCGCTGCTCCACATGTGGCCGCCGTGCAGGGTCCTTGGGGGGCACGGGCCTGCTGGGCCTGGGCAGTGGTGGTGGCGGCGGTGGCGTAAGCCTGAGCTGTGGGGGGCCAGTGGTGGTCTCCGGCGGCAAGGGTTGCCCAGGGGTCTGGGGTGCTTCTGAGGGCTCTTCGGCTGAAAATGACAAGGCAGAGGCACAGGGTTAAAAACTCCAGGCAGGGATGGGTAAGCCAGGGGCGGGGAGCCAGTAGCCCTCATCGGGCCAATGAAAGTGCCTGTGTCCAGCCCCACAGCTGACGCTAGCTTCCTACAAAGTTCCCTGGCACCCACTGGGCAGAGCCAGACCAGCTCTCTGGCACAGCCCCCTTGTGGCAGGCATCTGAGGGGGTCAGCCAGCAAAGCTTTCTCTCAAACAAACTGCAAACCAAATGCAGTTACTGCCAAGTCACAGGTGTCCACTGTGGGGCCTTGGGGATTCTAGAGTTTTCTGTGATAAGGCAGGCAGCTGTCTCTGGGGTCTTGTCCCCACAAGGCGGCCACGTGGACTCCCAATGTTTAAAGACTTGTATTTATTTATTTGAAAAGCAGAGTCACAGAGAAATTGTTCACTTTCCAAATGGCTCTGCAGCCAGAATGGGGCCAGTTCTAAGCCAGCAGCCTGGAGCTTCTTCCAGGTCTACCACGTGGGTGCAGGAGCCTAAATGAGCCATCCTCCACTGCTTTCCCAGGCAATAAAGCATGGAACCACAAATAAGCCAAAATACAAACCCGTGCCTATATAGGATATCAGCATTGCAGACGTTAGCTTTACCTACTACACCACCACGCTGATCCCTGGAAGTAATATGTTTAAGGAGATGGAAATACTAGCTGGTTTGATCATTACACATAGAATACATATGTGGAATTACTGCACATACAGATATATACAATCACTTAGAAATTAAACAGTTAAGTGGCAAAACAGAGGAGCAAGCAGGTAGCTTGGGCACCTTCGAAGAAGCTGAGAGCCCCACTGCCCAAGGCCAGCCAGGGAGCCGCGGAGCAGCAGCTGAACCCACTGGCAGACCAAGGCTGCCAACTTCTATGTGATCACACACAGTCTCCCAGACAGCACAGTTCTGGGCTCCTGGGTACCATGTTTTCTGATTCTGTGGCCTGCTGACACCACAGATGAACCATGAAGGACTGGAAGGAACCAGAAGCCACCAACTCCTTTGCATTCTCTAAAACCAACCACTGCCAATGGCCCCAAGCAGCCAGCTGCTGAGATACCACCGTGGGGCGCCCCTGGCTGACGCAGGCAGATGCCGGAAAGCTCAGACTGCCTCAGCAGCTGGCACAGGCCCACAGAGGCGGTGGTACCCACTCCAGTCTCACCCCTCCCATCACCAGCAAAAGGAATTTCTGAGTAGATCTTCCTGACTCACACAGCTTTGCTCTCCAGGGAAGCCCCCTGGGCGGGAAGCTGCCGCCCTCGCCTCCTCTCACTGTGTTCCTGGAACCAGCCTTTCAGGAAGTCCTTCCCCAGTGCCCTCAGGACATCCAAAAATAACCACTGACCCAAGTGAACAACAGCCTCCTCCTTGGCAGGTCCGGGGCTGGCAGTGCCCAGGTTGCCAAGCTTCTGTCCTGCTCTGTGCTTCTGTGTTTTAAGTCACTAAAGGAAATGAAAGATCAAATACATGCCCCCCCCCATGGTCCACAGGCCAGGTTGCCTGACCACACCCAGGGAGGTTATTTCCCAGCCGTTCCAGTGTCCCAGGGGAGGAGGAAGCCTTAAGAAAGTAATTTGTAACAATTACTCTCTCCACTCTCCTAAGCAGGGAACAGAGGAACTCAACTCTAGACAAGGAAGGAGAAATCCATTGCACTCCAAGGCATCAGGACTTATTCTCTCAGCTGCAGTCTGTCCCCAGTACAACACAGCGTTGGGAGGTGGGGCCTAAAGGAAAGTAGATCACAGAGGCTCTACCCTAGGTTGATCAATGTCATTATCAGAGAGTTAGCTATCATGAGAGGGTCTGTGGAAGCAGCAGCCCTGGCTACATGAAGAGTGCCTGGCTTTGAGCTCCAGTGGCTGAAGGCATTTGGGGAGTGAAGCGGCAGGTGGGGGCTCTCTAAATGCTTCTCACTTGTCCTGCCATTTACCCTTCCATCATGGAATGAGCCAACCCACACGCCCTTGCCAAATGCCAGTGCCATCCCCTTACCTTCTGAGTCTCCAGAGCAAGATTTTTCCTTAATAGATTACCTAGCCTCTGTTATTCTGTTACAATAACTCAAAACTGACACATGAAAGATACGCAGTGTGCCAAAGACAAAGAGAAGACCCCATCAGCCCTCAAGGGAGAATACCAAAAGTGCAGCATCAGGCATCTCAGCAATGCCTTGGCATTCAGAGGGAACATAACTGTTAACCTTGTATTCTATACCCAGCCATACTATCCATCAGTTATGAAGAGTAGAGAACATTTCACATAGGAAATATTACAAAATACCAAACACACAGAGGCAAGTGTCTGACTTACAAGCTGTCACTTGCAACATCTGCATCCCTTCTCAGAGTACCTAGTTTTGATCAGAATGCACACTCCTAACTTCAGCTTCCTGCTAAAGCACATCAGTGGAGGTAGCAAGTTATTGCTGCAGTAGCTGAGTCCCAGCCAACCATGTAAGAGACCTGCATGGGGTTCCAGGTTCCTAGATGGAGATCTGGCTAGGCTGGCCGTTGTGGACATGTGTGGTATGAATGAGAGGATGAGAACTCTCTCAGATGATAAATATTTTGTTAAGAAATGCACACACTATCATTGTGTGGTGGAAGGGATTGGGGAGGGGGCGAACTTGGAGTCTGGGGGTTAAAACTTCCAGCAGCTTATTGGCTGCTGGTGGGTGCCAGGCCAGGATTGTCTCCATGCTTGGAGCCCTGATTCCAGCCACCACGTAAGCATGGTGACCTGTCCCTGGGCAGCCAGTGCGCCATTCCACTTGCTTGCTCGCTGCCCGGCAGCCAGCTCTGGGGCTTTGGGGCTTTGAATTGTTGCTTAGGTAGCTCCATGGTAAGCTCACTGTACTTCTGGGATGTCAATCAATTCTAAAGACGCCCAACAACAGAGTAACTTTTCCTTTGAATGTAAGCAAGGGTAACGAGACCTGGTAGGTTGGAGGAGAGGGATCTTTACGGAAAAGTCTGATATACCAACCTATGAATCCTGTGTAGAACTTGTAATCACTGAACAAAGCTGACCATTGAACACTAGTCCATGCAAAAGGTAAGGCTCGGGGTTTGTCTAGCATAATCATACCCAATTACCTGACATGATGATGGATCAGGAGACGGGTCTCATTCAGCAGGTCCATGACATTAACTAGCACATTAGAGAACCATATCCAGGGGTAGATTCTGTGGGGGATGTGTGAGCCAAACCCTGCGGAAATACTAGCCCCCTTGGTTAGCTCAAGAGTTGGGCTGGCGATGGACTAAGCTAAGTATGACCAAGGAGCCTGCCATCGCTCACAGGTAAAGGAACCGATAACAGTCTGGACTGGTCAAGGCAGCAGCACCCAAATGTGCATCCTAAATAGGGCGTGGGGTGGGCTGGGCTGCAATGTTCACCAACTCATACAAGGCCAAATGGAAGGCCAGACTGCGCCTGACACTGGCCTAAAACCCAATGGCATGTATGAGAACTGGGTTTGGGAGTGGGTCAAGAGGAGGAACTTGGGAAACTCCCCTGGCAGGTCATAGCTCCCGCTGGTGAACACGTGGTCCAGACCTGGGGGTCAGACAAGCTGGGCAAAGTAGCTCCAATGGCTGGCTAATGTGTGGGTTGGTAATGGAATGGGGTGGACCGGGCAGGACTGAGCAAACCTTAACACACAAGCAAAATTAGAAATCAGGATGGAGCACAGGTCATGCTGAGCTAGGCTCTGCACCTACTGGTCTGCGTGAGCCAGGGACCTTAAGCCACAGCATCTAGGGCAGGGGCCAGGACAGGTGAGGGGCTGTGCCAAGCTGAGTCAGAGCAACCACTGGCATGCATGCTATCTATGGCTGGGCACGGGTCCGGTTGGGGAGGTAAGGGGACACCCTGGCTGGGTTGAGATTCCCACGAGGAGTGCAGGGGCTGGAATGGGGGGTGCGTTCTTATCTGAATATGGCTGTAGTCTCCCTTGGCACAAGTGTGGACAGGGGAGAGGTGGGGAGGGAAAGAGAGGGGAGGCTCATCTTTACCTCCTCTTCCATGAAGCCCTTTAGGATCTGTCCAGCAAGATGGGAGCAACCTCATCTCTGAACCAGGAAGCAGTCTGTGCCTCTGGGGTTATTTTTATTTGACATCTTTCTTCATCAGTAAGTGATGGAAGATAGTTTCCTATTTTAAAGGGTTAACTATTTGACATTTTAACGTGATGGGGGAGAGAGAGAAAGCAATCTCATAGTAACTTGTTCACTCCCCAATTAGCTGCAGCAGTCAGGGCTGGACCGAGTTGTATGCAGAAACCAGGAGCTCTTGTCTGAGTCTCCCATATGGGTTGGCAGGTGCCCAAGTTCCTGGGCCATCCTCCACTGCTTTCCCAGGCACATCAGGAGGGAGCTACTCAAAGCAGCACTCCACTGTTGGATGCCAGCTGTCCATATCACAACACCAACCCAAAGGCATGCATCTCCATCACTTTCCATCCCCAGGGCTTGGCACAGGGCCTGGAACACGACCTTGAGCAAACGTTAAGTCTTTGATATATGACAGAAGCCTGGAAGTTTGACAGGTACTCCAGGGCCAGGCCCCCACTGCTGCCAGCCCCCAAACTGGACATCCTCATTTTGCCAAAAACAGTTGCCATGTAGTGGTCCCAGTGGGGCAGGCTGGTGCACACAGGATGAGGAGCAGCCTCTGTTTATTACCTCCTCGGTTCCCAGCCTGGCACACCAAGTGGGAGGCAGCAGAGGGAATAAACTGGGATACCACCCAGACCTGTGTCTACAGTCCGTCTCCTCAGGGCATCTGAGCGTGGGGCTGCAGAGGAGCACTGACACACAGAATGACCAGCACATCCCAACCAGGAGCCTCACAGGACGGCTGCTGGGGAGGCAGGCTGCTTCCCCCAACCGCGGCCTCTCCCAGCTGGGGCTCAGCCCACAATGCCACGTGATGCCTGAGGCAATCGTTTAT